CAATAGCGAGTTCATCACCCACCTTCGATATACCGTCGATATAGTTCTTATGGCAGAATTGCTGGAGAACCTAAACACTATACTCAATGACTTCAATAGTGCCTCCCAACGGATTGCTCTTAACATGAACATGAACAAAACACAGTTCATATATAACGTCCATATCACACCTATGTCAGTAATTTTTGGGAATATTAAGCTCGAAGTAGTTTACGAGTATGTTTACTTCGGACAAATATTCTTACTTGGTAAGTCCAAATTGGACCGAGAAGTCAATCGATGGACTGAACTCGGCTGGGCAGTGTACGGAAGTTTAATACATATCTCGTCAGACATATTTTAAAAACTTGAAAACGAGATTGTACAATCAGTAAGTGATGACAGTGAAGACTTACGGATCTGAGACGTGGTTCTTCATTGCAGGCCGTATGAGGAAGCTCAAGGTCACTCAGCTAACTATGAAGAGGGCTATGCTCGGAGTTTATCCACAGTAAAACTAGAGTAACCGATATAGCCTAAGCTGCAGTGGCAGTAGGCCGGCAATATAGCTCGAGGAACTGCCATACGAAGGGGAAAAAGTTTCTCGAGTAGCAGTCTCGTACCGGTAGATGAAATGTGGGGTGGTCCTCCACTAGATGATGTGACAACCTGGTTATACATGGAAGAAGTCGATGAATGTAGGTTGTTCAAGACCGTGCTTTGTGGCATTCTTTGTCCTTCTTTGTGGGGAGAACTATGCTCAGCAATGGACTTGTGAAGGGTTGTAATAATAAATGGTAATAGCACGAGGACGAAAATCGATCTAGCTAGGTTTATTTCTGGGAAGGTAGGAATTCGTTGTCTTCATTTTTTTCACACATAAAGCGCAAACTTGTCTTACCCGCGCAATATTTTAGGTAATTTCGCATCATCGTTCGTCAGTAAGTCAGTACTTGACCTGGTGGTAATGTGTGGTAAAGCTCTATATGATAAATCACACTGTCTTAACGTAACAAACGCTTATTCATTCTTGCCTTAAAGATGACCAGATTGTATTGACGATCTGAAAAGACAGACAAAAGCGGAAAACTATTTTACTCCTTTGTTGTACGCATTACAAAAGACATAGCCAACTGTTTGGTTCCAAATCGTGGAATATCGACAACAAAGTGGTGAAGATCTACCAACCACCGGTTGTCGGATGTTAGAAAGGTGAGGGAGGAATTAAAGCATATTATTTGGATGCATAGTTCAATAAATGATAAAAATTTTAAACAGTTCAACACTCAGTTCGGCGCGCGAACGATTCATAACCCCAGGCGACCGATGAGAACAGAGAGAACCAATATATTTTAATACCACATGAAAATGTTACTTAAAATATTGTGTATATTGATGTATTGTAAACCAATAAATCAATCACTGATTTCTTAAATTATACGCTGATGAAACCGTAGGGCACAGCTATTAAGATTTAGACTGTGAGGCGTTTTATAGTTTATTTTGTCTTGTTTTTAAAATTTGGCAGAGGTCATAACACATTTTCTGCCATATTTATTTGTTGGAGCTGATGTTCGGTTTTTAAATGTTTGTGTGTGATGTTGTGTGGTTTTTAAATGTGGTGTTGTATTATCAGATGGAATATTGAATGGTTTTCTACTCTAATCTTTACAAATATAGCAGTCCACATTAATGTATATACATTAAATACTCAACTATGTATGACCAGATTTTGCTTACAGGTTTAATCATGTCCCAATTTAACATATGCAATGCATTTTACCATAAAATAATATGCTAATGAATGAAATGTGCTGAAATGCCTTCCTATGTGTTTCTGTTTATATACACTAGTATTATAATCTTGTTTACAGCGCCTATTGAATGGTTTCTTCCACTGGAATAATTTACGATTATCGAGGCTTAAGGCTTGAGAAATCAATTGGCAGTATTAAACACACCATACCTTAGACACTGCTTGTTAATTTTTCCACCTTTAAAACCGAGAACAAGTCTGGTCTTTGAATCATCATGTAAGTTAAATGCAATGAGTTCAGATAAATATTAGAGAAATAATGACATGCCAAGGATATTAATTATTAAAAAAAACAGCTGGCTGTTGTGACCTCCATTATGAGTTTGAATAAAAACTCAGCCAATATCTTTGTGTAACGTAAAATATTTTTTGTATAAACCCGAATGTTTTATAACTGTTTCATTCTCTTTAACAGTAGTCATTAAGTATCCTGTTGCTTGTTCTACTTAAAAATAAATAATGCTTAGACGCTTGTTGCTTAAAACTATTGTAAACGTTAATAAACTGCAAGAAAAATCTTAGGAATTTAAGCTTGAGGAAACTATGACTATATTAATTGAATATTGAAGTCACACCTGCACACATCCCATGATGCAATTTTAAACCCCGATATGCTTGATGATGAAGAATAAAATCTTGAGCAGACTGAATGCTTAAGAAAAAAAGTAAACTTAAGTAAATGGAGCTTCTTTAGTTTTAATGTTTATATAGGTTTTGTGCTCTTTAAAATATAGCGATTGTTTTTTATGAGAATTTAAGAACATTTAATGTCTAAGAAATGTTGGATGGGCCGCTATATATCCTAATCAAAGTACGTAATTTATGTCTAATAGCTATTCTAGTCATTTTATATGTTTTGTCATATTTAATCAGTGTTAACGTGTTAAAGTGAACACGATTAGTCAATTATTTATAACCAAAGGATCGTTAAATTATGGATTTTTAATTTATATATTCTATTATCAAAATATTTTATAGCGGATTACTTAAAATAATAGTTTTGAACAAATTGAAATAATTAAACCTTTAAATAATGAGCTATAACACAGTTAAGAAATTTCAATTTGTATCGCCACAAACATGCGCTTTTCCACTCATTTATTTAAGTAGAGCACAAGCCTTCGAAAACTGCAATCCATTATACGCTCGCTTACAAATAACTTGCAGTCGGATTGAGTAAGAGACTGACATATTTCACAGTTCTTAGAAGCGACTTCCGGAATATTGATCAGCTGAATCTCTCATACCGCAGCGCCAGATGTTCACTGAAAATTACTTTCAAATAAATCTGCAGAACTTGTTACGGATCTGATAAACTCACGTATCCTTTTCAAATGTTATTATAAGTGTTTATTATTAATAAAAATAACACATTCTGACCTTTTTTCTATACAGTTTATAATCATTAAGCTTAAGGTTTTATTGGGTGGTAAAATAGTTTAATGCGTTTACGTAATTAATATTTGGTTTTATTTTTAAATACCATAAAGTGATATCAACATCTTAAGATTAACATTGATAAATAAAATTACATTTATACTTGTTATTAAATGGATATAATTTCGTACTAAAATTATTTACATATTCCTACGGTTACTCAAATTATTGTCATTCATTAATATGGATATTATATAATTTCCATTAATAAGCAAGCAAAAAAGAGTATTTGTTGTAAAATTATCGTCAAAAATCGCAGTTTAAATTAGTACCTAAGCATATTATGCGAATTGGTACAATTTTATTATATTTTTATCTACTCCAATATTGAAGTTTACAATCAATTTCAAACTCTTAAAAAATAAAATGCAATTTAAATCAACGCAACTAAATACATACATAATTGTAAAATTAGAGCTGTTCAAATTTTTAGAGTATTAATTTGTAAAAATATTATTAATCCGTAACAATGCTAAAACAACTCTTATATGTCTAGAGAACTCGTTCTAGTTTTCGATTCATATATATTCACGATTGGTAAAATACCTTACAAATTATGAATATGGCTATTTGACTATAAATTCTTTTTCTTACCTAATGTACCTAAAACAATTATTTAACTACAATGTCATTCGAAGTCTGAAAAACTTCAATCATCTACTAGGTTTTAATTTTCATTCGTAAGTGAATTTCGTGAGCCGAATATGTAACGTTATAACTATTCGGAAGACAATTTTTTATGTTATATAAAGTTTTAGACTCAATCCAAATATAAGTGATAGTATAATTAATTTTTTTTAGGTATTCGAATACTGAAATAGAAATTCTATTACAGATAATTATTTTATATTTATTGTGATTTCTAGATATTTTTAAAGTCCAATACGTGAATCAGAAGAACAATTTCATTTACAATATTGATTAAACATATTTTTGTCAATTATAAGTGTATTTATTTCATCGCCATAATAAAATAAAATACAACATAATAATATATTATCTTTATTTTAATAAGTACACGTCAAATTATCATTATTGTCACTCTTACAAGCATCTTGGTTTGTGTTTCATTACTGTCTATTATTTTTTACTTACATAAAAGACAACCGCGTTATTTGGCCTTAAAAATATTATTAATTTCATTTGACGATTTTCTTTTGAGAACATAATTACGGTACTAAAAATATTACTAAAATTATAGTTCTCAATTATAGGTTCCCATAATCACTGTCACCGTGCAATGCTTTGGATTTATTTTTTATTTAATTATTTTTAATTTTAAAAATACTGTTATATGCTAGCGTCACAAAAGTGTGAAGAAATATTTATTTTCATAGAATAAAAATTGATATTATCGTTATTATTATTCGTATAGCTGTACCTATTTAGGTACTCAATGAAAATTGTCAATAAGAGTTTGGAAATAATTTTTGTATACATTTTGTGTAAAATTCTTATAAAACCCCAATTGATATGACAACAATGATATTTCTTAAATCGACTCAAATAATTATTGTCATTTATTTATTGTCATCGACTTATTCTAATCTTAATTTAAAGCTGAAGTTTTAATTATTAACTTCGACTTCATCAATATCCCAAATCAAACATAAAAATGTCAACATTGTAATGTATCATTTAAAAATTGTTTACAACGATCTCAAAATATGTAACTTACATCTAAAAAATTTAACAGCCATGTTTTTATCACTACCTAAACCGCTAGTAAGACAAAGTTTCCTTCAAAGAACTTCGTTATAATTTCCATTTATATAACAGTTGTAACTAGCCAGTTGGCAATGCAAAAAACAATAACTGATACAGTGCAAAGCGTGCCTCTGTTGTTATAGACAACATAGTGCCTGGGTGGTGCAGAAGTCCGGACTTTTTGTCTTTCAGTGCGTTGAGCGTATTCATTGTGGGAGGTATTTGTGGACCCGTAAGCATTTACATTATAAAAGTTAAGAGCATTATTTATTTCCGCTTGATGTAGATCAGTGTCCAAAACATTATGGTTGGTGCGTTCTGGTTGTTTTTTGAGATGTTTCTTTGGAGGCAGTGTAGTTGTCATCAAAGTCGTTGTCGTACGAGGCGTAGTTGTCGTTGTTGTGGTAGTCGTTGTTGTCGTTTTCTGGGGAGTTTCTGTTGAAAATAAGAAGAAATTGATTATGAAACATAATACTGTCATTATAACCTTATCACTTTTGATGTTTTTTTTTTTGATGTTATTTTAAAAATATACTACATACTTAATAGAATATAATAATTTTAATTTAATGTAAGTTAAAATAATACATAATTATTGATAATTCGACATAGAGTTCTTGCTTGGCTATCCGTGCAAGCATTTTTAATACAATATAATATAATGTAATTATCTTAAAAAGACCTACATATTGATAGTCATAATTATGCTTTTACTACTGGTTTTAAAAAATCTCTGTCCAAGTAGGAATTAGCAAGATACCCAGCTGATATTTTTAAACATTAATTTAGAATACAATAATATATACAATTAAATATGATAATAATATATACAATTAAATATTTGTTTTTATGTTTCTGATTTCCATTTAATAGAATTATACAAATTAAGATATACTTATGTATTTAAAATCAATAATTGTTCAGTTATTTTTTTAGTATGCAAAAAACTAAAGGAAAAATTAATACAAACACCGATAGCTTATCCCGTTGAGTGAAAAGAATATTATGTAAAATTTATTTACACAGCTGTTTTGTTTTATAATGAGCCCTCAAATATCATATCAATATTTTTTTCTACTAACTTTTTTTCGACTAAACTTATTACTGTAATATATTACCTTTCAAGTTAATTGAACCCTCTGCTCTTCCATACGCATTAATCGCTGAACACGTATAATCGCCAAAGTCTGACTTCTTCAGACGAGTAATAGTCAAGTTCATTCGTAGTCCATATTCACTAATAACTTCTTCAGATATCATATACTTGGAGCTGTTCAATAGTTTGACGCCTACAATAAAAATTTTGAATAATTTAACATTTGCGTTTTAATATGTTTGTTATGATACGTGTTAGTGTAGTGTGATTGAGCGTTGATGCGTTTTTTTTTTGTTTGTGTGGTGAAGTACAAACAAAACTCAGACAATTACGAGTCGGGTCTTGTTCTATTAGTGTATATAATGTGACCAATTAACAAACTACATTATAAATCAATGTTTTCAATATGTATTTATTAAATTGAGTGTTCTCTTGTGCATATTATATAGAAATTTCAAATTAGACTAGATTAAATTAGTTCGTTTTTTAAACCCGCGAGAAAATCAAATTTGAATCCGCATTTTTTGAAGATAAAAATTATATATTCAGACTCTACTGAATGAACTTTAGATAATAACATCCCAAATACTAGATAGATAAAATATTTGGCTTTCAGTTCTCCATTGCAGAATATATATATATATATAAATAGTAGTAGCCTCATACCGGCAGGCGAAGTGTGGGGTGGGCCCCCCTCTAGATGGAGTGACGACCTGTTAAGACATGCAGGAAGTCGATGGATGCAGGTGGCTCAGAACTGTGCTTTGTAGCATTGCATGGGTTAAGCAGTGGACTTCTGAAGGGCTGTCTTGATGATGAAATATCCTCAAAAATAACGAAATAACAGGCAGTCAAAATAGACATTTTCAGACCGTCTTTGTTAGGGAGTAGGTATATCTCAAAATCTAAAAAATTTACTAATGAGAAATTTCTTTATACAATTTATATACCATATACTGTGTTTAACCTTTCAATTCATGGTGTTTCTGTTATAAAAAGAGGTGTGACTTTTTTTTAAAGAATATTAACAATACTGTAAACATTACTAATATTCCCCTTAACCAATCGTGATAAGCTTATATTGCTTGTGTTACGAGTGATTCACGCCAGTAGTAGAATGGCGGATTCGAACCCACGACCTTTTTGAGTTCGCGGTCCGCGCCCTGCCATTAGGGTACTGTCGCTTACTTTTGGCGCAGTCCGGTCAGCAACTACGCGTGCGTGCATCGCCACCCGACACAAAAACGTTTATAAAACCGAATGCAACTATTAATCTCCATTTTGTTAACTATTTTATAATTACGAATATTTTTCTGTTTTCACGTACAAAATACTTTTTATATATATCGCGTCAAAGTTGTGGAAGCTGTGCTCTTAAAATATTTGGTTTTTTCATCTACATTATATTCCTACGGGATACAATATGGATTTTTCACAGTGAAATAACAATAAGATATATTCGACATAGAAAACAAACATTACTGCAAAAAAAAAACAAAAATAAGAACACTTGGTACCTCTTCCGCGCTATAATAATATTCAACAGGAAAATGATAAAATTCAATATTGCCTTCTCGGCAAGATTTTCAGTCTGCATTATGATTATAATCTATTTATTAGTTATTCTATAAAATATACAATCAAATTCATTCTGTGTCTTATTGTAAAAAACGGTTTTAATGTGCTTAGTAGACGCCTGCTTAAAACGGCCTCTTGAGAATTATTAAAAAATACGCAAAAAATTTCATACTATATATAACAATTTCATAACATATAATTCATAATATATCTATATATCTTGACATTATTGAGGATTTGAAATTTGAGAAGTTCTTTGCGAATAAGATTAATATAAGTCCTCGATTGCGTTCAACATGACTATTTGACAGTTAAATTTAAAAATCGTAATATGTACATACCAGTCTGTGATTTTCCACGTTGCCAAGTAGTAAGCGGTTTTGGTGAAGATTCTACGTAACACTGCAAGGTGACTTGCAAATCGGTTGCCCGCAATACTACCGGACTGGTCACACGTATCACAGGCGTAACTATATAAAAGGGAGAAAAAAAAGTTACCGTATAATTTAAACTGGCCTTCTATCTTTATCATTAATAGTTAAGATGTTTTATTTTTCTATTCCTCTGCTGAGTGGTGTATTGTTTTCATTTTTCTATAAAATAATCTTGTTTTAAATTCTTAATAGATTTTCCTTTCAATACTCTTCAATAATAAAAAATATTCAATAATTTAACACTTGTAATTGTGAGGGACAAACACTGTTATATTCCTTACAACTCGATAAAAATATAATATATAATGTGAAGGGCATATTAAGTTCAAAAATAATGCTAAACTAAACACATTCCACTATTACATTATATAGATATGTATATGTTATAGCATAATAATTATGCTATATTATGTCATTCGTGACACTTATTCTTCTTCCTTTGTAACTACTGGATATAGGTATTTTCAGAAAAGTGCTACTGCATTATTTGAAAAATATGCCAAGTACAAAATGAGCAAGTGAGTTGGTAAAAACAGCATAAACAGGAATCGGTATTACCGTTTTCGGATACGTAATAAACTTCAAGGGAATCCAAAATTGAGGCAATAAGAAATAGGTCACTTACAAAGAACATTCACTTCATAACGACGACTTTTTGTGGGAGGGATTCCATTCGCCGCGATACATAAATACATGCCCATATCTTCTCGTCGCAGCCCCTTCAATAGTAGAGTCGACCCAACGTAGCTGTGTACCACTAAGCAGAAAAGAAGTAATTAATAGCGAAAAATATGCACAGTGTAGATTAAAATACAATTCAACATTCGCTAATCTGATATCCGCTATGTTCTTATACTTTTTACTAATATAATATTAAACTATGTGAAATAGAAAATTTTTGTTGTGATTTGAATAAGTAATAATAATATATTTGGAATATAAAATTATACCCTTACAATTCCGTGAGACCCATCCGGTCGGTTTTTATAATTAGTACAATAATAGTCTCTATACAGGGTTATTTTTTAAAGAGCTAAAGGAGACGGTCCATTACAGGCCCAGTCTATGTACACTATACACATGTATATATAATGTACCCTGTGACTACACAGTAAAAAAAGCAAAAATTTCAGAAATTTTATTAAAAATAATAACACAGAATAAATCAAACTAATTGACTTGCTAAAAATAAAAATACAATGTCAATTTCAGATAACTTTACAAGATGGCGCCCTTCCAGACATAAAACATCATATGTCATCATATCATATGTCATGTCTGAAAAGTGACTTGAGTCATGAAGTAATGTAGGTAGTGTGATATGTTTTTTTTTTATTCCGAGCTTGTTCGTGCAGTTGTGAACTCGTCAAGGCATTTATTGTATTTCTTTGGCAATTTGTTTTTTTTATTTGGACTTTGAATCTGTTATTACTTATCTGACTCAGCTTTCGTTTTATGGACTTCATGATTTACGTGAGATTTTGATTTCATTGATATCAGACATTTCTGTAGAATCACATTTTGAATCATCAATAACCTCATGACAGTTGACAGCTAACGTCAAAACGACAACAAATCGCCATTAGTGTTGCAGTTTTTGGTAAGAATACAATATTAATACCACTGAAATAAAGACAAATTCGTGGATTTGAATAACCAAAAGTGGTGTAATATAATTATTTTAATTTATTTCCCTACTTGTACAAAACCAGGCCTACGCCTCATACAAATTTGGACCCTCTCCTTTACTTTTTTGTTGGTGGCATGGTAAACTTAGCCAATCATATTGGAATATGAAAACCATTGAGTTTCCATTTTATTTAATTTATTTTAATAGTATGTAATACAAGACTTTACTTTTCCACCTAGAATTTTGAAAAATTATAATTCATGTTGAATTACCTGAAACAAATGACTAACACAGGTTTTAGAATCTTACTGGTATGTTGAAAGTGACAAAGTATTAAAGTTTTATGTTATTACTAAAATATAAATTACGTAATAGATAGAATAAATACACAAAAAATGTTTCTTTGTTTGTTAAAAGAAAATTAGAATCTATGGGTCGAGGTATTTAAGGAAGCTTCTCTGTTTGATGCAGCTTCATCTTTGAAAAGCGATTTATTTAAGTGTGAAAAAAGGAAACCAGTGAAAATAAACAGTCAGACAACTTTTAAAATCAAATATTGTTACTGGAGCTGATTAATGGTGTATTATATTTCACCATAATTTCTTTTTTATATAACAAACAGGCAGAGGTAACGAAATGTTGACAGAGTTATGGAAATATAGTTTATTGATATTGAAGGCATAGTCTTATCTCATATCTTTTATTATCGAAAGTCCTTCTGGTTCCCAACAATATCATAAATGGGCGTGTTTTTTTTTTTTTGCTTGATAGTGTTTGAAATATAAATTAATACATTATATACATATAGGTAATATGTTTATTACCCGCACACTATTTAAAAAAATGTATTAATAAGAATTATTATTTAGTATAGAAACTATTTACAATATTCATTAACATTTTTCAGCTGCTACGCTTTGCACAAATCTGTGTGCCTTGCAGGCCGAAAGCTTGCAGAGCTGTCCGCAGGCAGAGACAAAAAATGGTTGTTGAAGAAAACAGTCTTATATCATGTCTGATTCCTAACATTATCATAACTGAACATGTTATTATCAAGTTATTTTATCAATCAATGTCGAATGTCGAGGAATGGTGTCGCAAATGTACAAGTTGTGCGGCTGTAAAGGGACCTCAGACTCGTAGTAGAGGTGCATTGAAGTTGTACAATGTTGGTGCACCATGGGAGAGAATAGCCATTACGGGCGGGGCCGTTTCCGAGAGTGAAAGCGGTAACAAGTATTTCATGGTTGTGATGGATTACTTCACAAAGTGGCCAGAAGTTTTCGCCATTGCAAATCAAGAACTTCAACAGTTGCAGATAAACTAGTTCATGAAGTCTTCTGTCGTTTTGGAGTACCTTTAGAGATTAACAGCGATCAAGGAAGGAATTTTGAGTCCCAAATATTCCAGGAAACTTGCCGAGTTATGGGTACTCATAAAACAAGAACGACTTCTTATCACCCGCAATCTGATGGAATGGTGGAACGATTTAATCAGACATTGGAGAGGTATCTAGCAAAAAGTTGTAGACAATCGGCAACTTATTGATCAAATTAATGATTTGCAGTAATAAATATAATTAAATTATACATCTGTTTTTGTTATCCTTACACGACCGGTTTAAAAATCCTATTTTCTCACTATTTACCAGTGTGTAATAACATAGATAAACATGATACCTAGTCATTTTGGTATATTATTACCCATTCATTTTGGGTTTAATATTATTAACGTTGTATTACTAATCAATCGAAATTTATAATATACTACTTTGGAAGTAATGATTTACAATAACTTTTTAGTGCAGTTGTATTATAATTTCTGTGTCTTATCGTTAGACAACCAGTTTAAAACTTCTATCTTACTATATAGTGTGTGTGTGGGTAATATTATAAAGGACACATTATTCCTTAGCCATCTGGCTTTAATCATATTAAGTAATTCATTATTTTATTTTATTTTCTTCAAAATTATTTGGGATGTATACTCACAACTCACAATCAATCAATACATGTAATAAATAGTATCCATACCACATTTGTACACAAACAGGCACTATATTTTGCCGGAACTACTAAAAGGATTTTTCATCGATCTTAAAGTACATGATGAATGTACCTACTCAAACTTTGTTTTATACTATTAATTATTGAACAGTGCACTACTTTAATTTATAATTTTTTTCTATAGGATAGGGTGACAAACGAGCACACAGTCCATCTGATGATAAGTGGTTGCTGTGGCCCATAGACATCTACATCTGTCCCCGATAACAAATCAAATAGAATGCCTCGTTTCCAGTAAAAAGGCTCTCCGGTTCTCTACACTCACCATACGAAATACAGCAGCTTCACGCTTCATTCTGTGAGAGCGTGGTCCTTCCCCGGTAGAGCCGACCCATTCGTGCTACAACTATACTACTAATATCACTGCAGCATGGCTCTACCACGTATAAGATGAATACAGGTGAAAAGTATTAAATAATCGCTTTTAGTTTATTTTTGGATTATTTTAAGATTCATACATTAATTTTTAATTTCTCAGTACTCCGTTAAGAAGTGGTAAAACTTAACTTACCCATAGATTACATAAGTTGTATTATAACTATTGTAATCTATAGGTTATAAGGAATAATGTAAAAAAAATAATAATCTACATGCATTTCATTACGTGTCGCTAAAATTTGTGGTCGAAAAAAATTTCTCCTTTGGCCGGCTGTTGCAAAATAACCCCTTATACATAAATCGCTTGTTGTCCATTAGTCGCGCAAAAACTCGAAAATGGCTTGACCGAGCCATTTGAGTGGGTCATCGGATGGTTTAAAAACTCAATTGAACCCGGTGGGTGGTGTTGTTGTAGAGATTCAGAAATACCACCCGTGCGAAGCCGGGGCGTATCGCTAACACCCCGGCTTCGCATGGGTGACGGGTTTAAAATAAATATTGTGAAACTAGTACAGGTGTTTATCCAAATCACAAAAATAAAGCTGGTGTTTCACTGAGTAGTAACAATCGCAATTATAAATTGTAGAAATTTTAAAGAAAATTGTTATTATATGGAATAATAAGAGATAGTTTGTTTTATTTTCAATTAATTTTAACAACCTTGGCTCTACATTTGATGGTAAATTTAGGTGTGTTTATGAACTTATACTTTGAAGAATGTTTGGATATAAATACAAAAGTGAGGTGCTTACAATCGTAAACAAGTAGCAAGAAGTGGAGACAATATAAATAAAATGTGATGAAATGCGTTAAAACTGAGAATGCACTAACTCCTTGCTACATGTGGTAGAGTCACGCTGCAGCTGTAGGTTGTAGCACAAATGCTTGAGCGAGGAAGCACCATGCTCTCTCAAAATACCATAGCAGCTTAATTCTAATGTGTACCGTAGAGAGAAACTTTTTACTGCATTTTGATTTTTAATCGAAGAGAGATATGAATTTTTATGGGCCAGAGCATCCGCTTACCATCAGATAGAATATGCTTGTTTGTCACAATTATTCTACTTAATTGCTTGTAAATTGAGTACAATTTTTATTTTATTTAGTTTTAGATAACCGAAAAAATTACGAGTATGTGTATTATAGCTAATGCTAATATAAACTAGTACAAATACTGCTTTATTAAATAAAAAAGTACAACCCACTTAATTTAAATTTTTTATGGTTTTTGTTTTGGTAATAGATAATAATGGAATTTGTTATTATAGGTACCCGACAGGTGTGGCGATGACAGCGATTCCTTTCCACAGTAGTAGGGTCCAAGGCCAAAAAAGTTTTGTTACGGAATGATAAATAATGAGAAGAATCTGATATTAATATAATTAAAATTTTGACGTAAATTCATAAAACTATTATTACAATAAAAACCCTTAAATTGTTACAAAAAATAAACGTCCAAGTTTTATTAGATAAGTACTTAGTATATTCAGAAATTAGACTACACTAAGCATATTTATCAACATCATTTACCTTCTTAATTAACTTGGCGTCGCTAATCTTAACGTAACACTTTAATCAAAATATTGCGAAGGCATTCCGACGTTTAACGGTTGCTGTCAAATTAAATTTAAATGGAAGCAATTTATAACTTTATTATAGCACACGACCCGTTGATCCTAAATC